ATGAAGAATCGAAGCAGTACTTTTGCCGCATTCAATGCCTTCTTTTTTTATCGTGTCCGGACATTCATAGAATTTCGGCCCAGTATTGGTCTACGTCGGTTCCATCTTTGTTGGCGAGCCATAAATGTTCAAGGGTACATCGATGAGACAGTTTCTGCATGTAAGAAGATGTTCCATATTCTGTGTTTCTCCAAAGTTACAGTTCACATGATCTTAGTCTATTTTTCCCCATTTTGCCATGTTTGATTTTACTGGAGCGACTTCCGTTCTCATCCTATTTTATAGTTTTCTAATTTTAAAGTCTAGAGATTGACCGGTCCATTGAATTTGGGGAAGAGAAATATACTCAGTCCATTTATCCTGCACTATTCCAAAGAATCTTTACCTGGATTTTAGTCGCTTTCGTGGTGTTCGAGCCTTGTATGGCTTGCATGCCGCTCGTCCGCAATCTGTTTAATTTTCTCTATGCGTTCTGCAACGCCTCTGCATGTTGAGGGTTCTCCAAAACCCGCTACTTTATATAGATTTGAGAGTGACGTTGGTTTCCTGCTGAGGGCTTGGTGCTGGTTCTGGCTCGGCTTTCACTTCCGGGTCACTGTTTTCTTCTTCTTCTACACGAACTGCTTGTAGGATGTCCTCGTCAGAAAGTCCAGATATTGTAGCTACATTTTCATTAACTTCTTCAAAATTTGTTTAGCTCGTCCGGTCCGTAGGTGGTAGTAAGTTCAAACTGCCTGGCCCAAACATCTAATGGCAGGTCATCTTCATCATCAGTCAATCTTTCATCTTCCAGCCATCCTGCGTGCTTGAAGGAATGTTTTATTGTATTGCTCGTCCCCTCGTGCCAAGATTTACTAAGCATTGGGATCGCGTCAAGAATGTTTTGTTTAAGATTGCCATTGTTCCCAACCAATTCCATTAAAAGTCTTCTTCTGTATTAGCTATTCAAACTCTTGATGACACTTTGGTCCATGAGCTGAAGGACACTCGTTGTGGTTGCTGGCAGAAAACAAAAATCAATGTTTTGAAGGTCGCACAGTACAGGATGAGCAGGACAATTGTCTACAAGCAGAAGAATTTTTTCCTTTAAAGCTCGATATCCCACTTTATTATCGCTCCTTCAAAAATTTCCGCAGTCATCCACGCACTCTTGTTTGGTTTATATGTCACCCGTAAATTTTTTATGTTTTTAAAGCAACGTGGGTTTGTGTGTGTGTGTTTTATGTCGTCTGTCGCATATCATACCTTTAGTCCAGGCCACATGTTTTCTAGCCAATCATCCGTTATGTTTTTGTTAACATCGCGATCCTCTCCGCTGATTTGCCCGTAGTTGTAGATCTTGTGCTGCAGCTTCCACTTGCTCAGCCGACCCTTAGATGCCTTGAAATTCTCAATTCCAAGCTCAGTTGCAAAGTACTTAGCTTTTGTCCTGACCACAAGCCCAGAAAGTGAAATATGGTTCATACGCTGCTGCTGAGGATTCCGCAACATCTTCCTGCTACCGCCCTTCATTTCCGCTTCAAGCCACTTTTTTCTGTCCTTTCATATAAGAGCCACAGTTGACAAATAGCCCCGTATGGTGAACGACATCCAATTGCTTTACACCTTTTTCTATTGCTCGAGCTATCGATAACTTTTCCTCCACCTAAACCACTTTAGGCTTTTTCGAAAACATATTGACTGTTGAGACACTAAGACACAGCTCTCAAAACTAAACAACCACTGGACAATGACCTTGCCACTCGTGACTCAGGTAGTCTGAACTTTAAACAAAATAACACATTTGTCATTGACTATTGAACGCTGAAAATCATCGCTATAAAGAGAGAACGAGATCGGTATAGAGAAAGAATTAATACATTGTCCTTATGGAGATCCAACCAACGTTTACTATTTTCATCGTTATAGAGGAATTATCGTTATATAGGGAATCGTTATAAAGGGAGATTACTGTATATCCACATGAGTCAATCTAATCAATACTTTTTACAAATTTTTAACATATTGTTTATTGGTGATATGTTTCTATAGTAAATGGTAAAGAATAAATCTAGGTTAGTTATCCTTAACCTACTCTTGGGTACTCTAAAGTAAATAAACTTAATTAAACCACAGCTTTTGTACTTAATACTGTTAACAATAAAGTGTATGAACATAATAGCCTGACTGTTTCTTCTAGTGGCAAGTGACTGCTGAATGAGTCTAACATTACCCTGTATGAGACCACATACGGATATTTCTTAGTTTTCCTTACATACAGAAATTTTAAAAATCGTTTTTGCACTTTTTTAATCATTTCTGAGTGGGAAAATGATGATGATTGAAGCATATTGCATATGTGGTCCCACCAGGGCATTAGAGAGTTTTATAATTGTGCTTATTCTGAAATTTTCACTATTTCTAATGACAAAACTCAAAGCATGATGAGCTCTGTTAGTTATTTCATAAACAAGATTCTTCATAACACTCACTCTCTCAACTGGATCATCATTAATATAATAATTTTCAATAACACTATTGAGTTTTCGTGTATATGGAACTACTGCACACTTTTTAACATTAAGAGTCATTTTTAATCATTAAACCATTGAATACTGATCTTAGATCATCTTGCAATTTGACTGCATTTTTCTTATTAGATATTATTTTAAAAAGTTTAAAATCATCGGCATACATTAAGCTGTTACAAGATTTAATCGTTAATCGCAAGTCGTTAAAAAATAAAATAAAAAAGCAATGATCCTAGTTTGCTCCCCTGTGGAACTCATGAGGATGACACATATTGGTGAAAAAAGCAATTACCTACTTTTACTGTATTCTTTCTATCTGACAAATTTTAATAAATTAAAAGCTTTTCTTGAGAAACCAAACTCTACCAGGTTATTTAAAAGAATACAGTGATTTACCTTATCAAATGCTTTTTCGCAATCAGTATACAGAACGTCCAACTGTTCCTCTGCATAAATAGCCTTATCAATATGTTCAGAGAGAACACAAAAATTAATTACTGTTAATTTGTCTCTTACAAAACAATGCTGAAAATTGCTCATATATATCATAATAAAGAATACTTACAAAAAAATCTTAGCAATACTATTTAACAGACTGATAGGCCTGTAGTTTTGAAAGTCATTTTTTATCTTTTTTATGTATTGGAGAAATTGTTGCCACTTTTAAAATATCTGGAAAATATTCCTGTTCAATCGACATATTAAACAAAAACGCCAGAGGTTTATCAAAGGGTTCGGCCATTCCCTTATAGATATAGGGTGGTATTTCATCAGGGCCTGTAGATTTTTTGGGTTTAAGTTTTTTTACATATTTACAACATCTAATTCTGTGATATATTTAAAGGTAAAAGAACCCCTCTCAGTACTTTGAGAACGACAAGGTGTGCAGTCAGATGTATCATACAGTGATGCAAAATATTTAGAAAAGGCACTTGCAATATCAAAAGATGTATTAAAGTTGTTTAATGTCATTTCTATGGGAATTGCACTATTCGTATATTTTGACTTAAAGAAATTCCTGCATTTGTTTGGGTCAGCAAGTAGATGGTTTTCAAGTGAACGTTTGTATAAGTTGTGCTCATATTTGGTTTGGTTTTTAATATCAGTTCTTAAAAGCTGAAATTTAACATTTTTTGGGCTCCCTGAGGCTTTATTTAAACACAAGCGATGCAGACTATTTTCTTTTTAATTTTATGGATCAAATCTTGAGAGAACCAGTTTGGAAACGTGAAAGTAGAGTTGCTGGGCCTTTTTTAGGAATAGAACAATTTAAAAAGGTGTACATTTGACTATAAAAAACATTAAAAGCATTTTTAATATCCTTATATAAGAATAATGAGGACCAGTTAAACTGAAAAATTAAATGATAAAAATGCCAGTAGTTACCTTGAGCATAGTGTATGTACATTCCATTTTGTTGCCTGGTAAATCAGCTATGTCACTTACTCTGATACTAAAGATGAGAGCAGGGTGATAAGAATCTTCAGCCACTAATGGACAGTCAGACCTTGCCATATTACAAACATCTATATTAGTCAGAGCAAAATCTAAAAATCTATTCATAGATTTAGGAATATTATTTATTTGTTGTAAGTTATTAATAGCACATTTTTATCACAATCCACAAAGCTGTTATCATTATTAAAATGGGGTAAATTCAAATCTCCTAGTAACATCACATTTGAGTTTTTTTATAATAAAATATTCTCAAACAAATTAAAATAGTTTTCATACATCACAACATCAACTTTAGGTATAAAATACACAGAGGAAACATAAAGGGTATAAAAACATACAGTTTTTTTAATTTATCTTAAGTTTTACACAATTACTATCACAGGTAACATTAACAAGTTCATAAGGTAGTTCATTTTTGATTGCTAATTGTACTTCTCCACCTCGCAGCCTATGGTCTGACCTACCTTTCCTAAACACTGTATATATAAGTAAAAGAAAACTCTTTAAATTGCTAAAGTCCCATGAAAAATGATATATTGAGTTAAAATTATATTAAACAATAATAAAAATCGTAGTTTTTCAACTGAAAATAGGCATCTTGAGAAGAATAATTAAATAAAATAATTCTTGTAATAATGTGTACACTTAGAAATTTGTTGGTTTCTTTCTATTAAAAACACTACAGTTGATGTCATTCTATTTTATCAGTTCTTTTTTAATAATACACCATTCGTTTTATTCCTGCTGCATTCTTTTAGAATTCATTTTTGCTGAACAATGACAATTCAGACAAAAGTACAAAAAACGAATATCCCTGCAGATTATTTCAGCAGAAATCAGAAATAAAAAGTCGTAGAACAATACTATCACTTGAGTTTCCCCGCTTCCCGGACTTTTTAATCCCTGATATTCCGATTCGAAAATTCAGCGAATGGATCCTGCGAATGCGCAGACCACTCCAAGAAAATTACAATAAACTGATAATCTTGGCCGGCCATGAGCAGTTCTATGTGCTTTCCTTTAGTCGCTTCTACAACGTCGCAGCGCACATCGAGTAATAGTCTATCTCAAGTGAGCGTGTGCACGCATCCGAACTGTCAGTTTAAGCGGTACCAAACAGTCGACCAGTTCATTTTTCACCAAAAAAACTGTTAAAAAAACAGTTTTTCGTTTGGATTACTTTTATTTACCGAATTTCGCGGACACTTGGCCGATCATCAGGATGCTGCTGCAAGGCTACAACGACCCTCCAGGACGACAAATGCAACGTCCTGCAGGAATCCTGGACTCCCCCACGTTGGCTCGGGTCGAAAGGGCTATGTTGAGACATGAAGAAGGGACTAATAGAGAAGGACAAGATGTATTGAGGGCCCAATATACACAGGTGAGTTTGTAATTTATTATTTTGTCGATGCAGTTAGGGTTTAAAGGGTTGATCGGAAAATGACAAAGAAAGCGGTTTTGTTGGGTTTTATGAATGAAATATTACTTTTTTTTGCAAATATGGTAAATGTGTGTGTGTTAGCTAGCTGGACGAACAATATATTAACAAAAATTTTATGAATATATATATATATATATATATATATATATATATAATATATATATATATATAATATCTCACCACCTTATTCTTCTTTGTCTATCATTTTTTATATTTTCTTCTAGCATTTTTAGCGCTATTCTTTTGTATTTATTAAAACATGTCATAAGTATTTCATTTACTTTCATTTACTTGTCTTATTTATTTTTGTTTATTTTCTTGTCTATTGTTACTGAACTTTTGCCTTTTCCCCATCTTTTCATTTATTTCATATTTTTTCATTACCCATATTTCGCAACTACCAAGGTATACGCTTGTTCTTTACATTGTTTTATATTTCGATTTTTTGTTTTTTAGCCTTTTTTTATAAGATTATTTAACTATTTATTCTCTTAAATTATTGTACAAAAAATTAGAATTCGTTTTCGAAAGTGAACTTGTTTGAATGTTCCGATTGTGTGATAAAATTAGTTATTTGCAATTAATTATAGGTAATCAGACGTACTTATCTTTCTTTAAAGGGCAAGAATTATTACCAGCGCCATGTAGTAACTTATGTACTTACTTATCATATCTATTTTGCCCTTATCCTAGCTACCGTATTGATTCATTTATAGTTATTATATTAGCATTCCTAATATTATTCCTCACAGAAATTTTAATGAAAGAAAGTGTTTATAACGTTTTTTTTTAAGATTTGTGTCATTACCCTCTTCCATCCACCCCAGTTTACAAGTTTCCCCCAAGATCAGAATCATTGATCTTTCTACTAATTGATTGCGGTGATCTACTCCGTTCATTATCTTCTTGAACCAATATAATTCGGATTTTTAAAATTATGTTCCTATACCATTTATGCTAGCTTATCTGTCAATTGGTTTGCTCTTGTACTTTCCAAAATATGTTTTTGAGATGTATATTTGTCTGTACAAATGTTATACTGATATGTATATCATTTGAAAGCATTTTAGATAAGTTTCAGTTATTCCTCAAGCGGTTAATTCACAGGAACTATTTCCTTAGAGAGCGTTATTGGACTATATAATTTTTTATGTAGAGTTATATAGGTAGTTATGGGATTTTTTTTTCAATCAATGTTATACGACTGTCAATCACATCCTGAAATATTACTGGGGCTTTGTTTCCGTAGATCGAATTTTGCGATTTTGTTAACATCTATTTTATAATTTTTTTTATTTATTGCATCTAGCAGCTAATTTTTACCTACATCTGAATATAAGCCCCCTCCCTCCAAATATAATTACCAAGATTTCCTTTGTTATGTTTAGTTATACATAATATGTACTTATAGATAGTAATTAGCTGCTTAATTACTTGTATATCTTAAACAAACACTAAAAGTACAACTTGACGAAACTACTTTCTTAATTTAAAATTAATAACCAAGTCATTATATAGGAAAAGTTTTAAAATAACTAGTTTTTAGATAGACACAATAACACTATTGGAGAAAGAGCCAAGACATAAATCAAATGACGTACAAAACGCAAAACTCGGCTAGGAAATTACGACAGTAAAAAATAAGCAACTGCGAGTAAAAATATGGTTCCCCCAGTTGCGTTTTGCAACTTACCAAAATGATTAAACGTTTCTGAAATTTACTCTTTTCATTTTGCGTCAGACTTATTCCAAAAACTTGTGTAACTTCATAGTATACATTTATTGATATTGGGGCGATAAAAACCTTTTTATAACATAAATTTGTATGTATATTATTATAAGATTAGCGAGTATATTATAACGATATTATGTGAATCATGGGAAATTAAACTTTTTTATACTTATATTAAAATTAAATAAATGATATTTTGGTGTAACAGATTAACAAAAATCAATTTTTTTGTGCCATGAATAGAACATGGTGTTCATTATGTGCAATATCATCAGAAAGCCAAAATAAATTTAAATTTTTTCTTTCACCCACACTTTATTTGCTACGAAGAATTGTGCATTGTAGGGGAATATATCAATTTTATTATGTTGCTCATTCAGTCACCAGACTAGGACTTCATTTATCTTTTCGTTTTTCCATGTCTACAACATCTTGGTGGAGCCATTCTCCATATTTTTCACTTAAGCACCTAAATTTTCTGAAAAGAAATTCAGATAAGCATTTAGAAGGTAAATTTTTAGAGTCTCTATTTCTCTGTAGGTACTAGGTAATTCAGTGACAAGATTTTTGTAATTGTCAGCTTTGACATTTCGAAGAAAATTGGACACAACCATTTTAAAAGCTCTCTCTTTAATCATTACATTCAGCCCGTGAAATTAGAAGGTCTTTTGGGGAACATTTTGGTTCTTGAAGTAGTGGAACATTGTCTATTTCCTCTTCTAATTGTATATCACCAGATAGGACCTTAAAACTTTTTAGTTCTTCTTCATTCACACTCAAAGTCTTTGATGGTTTTGTGTGTAAGAGCGTAAGAACTATAGAGGCATTACTCTGTTCGCATCTGCTTAGAAAATCTTTTATTGAGAGAATTGAGACATTTAGAAAATTGTTTGAAAGACTTACAACATTTTACAAAGGGTATTGTTGGTCAATAATAATGCGGATTTAGTTGGAAAGTCAACTACACATCAAATTCAAGCACATAGGCAGATTTTTAAGTCACTAGAATATAACATAGATACACAACATCTCTAAGCAGCCTATGACAGTATGAAAAGAACTGCAATATATAATGCAATAGGTAATACACTTTGGGATCCCACCTAAGTTAGTTAAGTTAGTAAGCTCATACGTTAGAATTTAAGGAGAAAACTCTACGTGCTTTATGATGATGACGTGTCGGCTCTTTAATATTGCCTTGAAAAAGACAATCAGACAATTAAATATTATAATGAATGGAACTATTTTTCACTTCAAATCAAAGAATTCACATATCTTGGATCGCTAGTAAATGCAATAAACAAGCAACGAAATAAAAAGACGCATAATAATAACAAACAGAACATGTTCATGGTCTCCAGAAACATTTAAGAAATAAAAATAGAAAACGTGCAGTAAAGTTGAATATAAAGATGAAGATAATGGAGAGACCATGTTAACAGAATTCCAGATTATCAGTTAGATAAAATTGTCAAAGACAAACAATAAAATACTACAGCTACTGCTGAACCATTGAAGAAAAAGTGGGACGTGGTCCTAACATAAGAAGAAGATGAAGAATAGAAAACTTGGGTTCCTTGGTCACGTCTTTAAAGGTATTACGTATGAGTTCCTACAGGTTATAAGATAATGCAGGGAAAGAGAGTTGGAGGAAGAAGCGTGGGAGGTAGAAAAATGAGTTCCTACAGGTTATAAGATAATTTAGGGAAAGATAGTTGGGGGAAGAAGCGTGGGAGGTAGAAAAATGTCTTGGTCGCAAAATATTCATAAATTGTTCGGAATTGCATCGCTCGAATTATTCCGCGCAGCCGTTTCTAAAAAAAAAAAATTACCATATTGATCAGCAATCTCCACAAAAGACGCTGAATCCAGGAAGAATTAGTTCTTCAATTTCTCTGTCAGTATTTAGAACATTTTACTTTTTTTCTACCATCTTTGCTTACGTTTGTTTCCTAATTTAGTTTCCTAGTTTAGTTTTCTAATTTCAGAACATTCTAAAATGCCAAAATTAGAAAAATAAGTAAAAGGGGAAGAGTTAAAGCACAATTAAGAAAGATAGTAAGGGACAGAAAACTAGGATAAAATGGATTTTATATCTAACTGAATCCAAAATATAAAAATATAAACCACTTTAGATTAACTGTTGAAAACTTTAATAAAAAAATTAAACATACTTAGATGTTTTAAATAAAATAAACGAGTTTTGGAAGACTACAATAATGTATTAAACTTAACTTTAAAATGCCAATAAGTAATTTTTTTATTTATACTCTTAGGTGTATATTACATATAAATACATTTTTGCAGACATCAAAATAATATCGTATAAAAGCAGACGACACCTACTCCCTTTAGGTAAATACACTGTTTAATGAAGTACTTAAAAATTACTGAGGTAGAAACATAATAAAAAGGGAGTCTCGAATGACACCATTCACATGATCACAAGTATGCACCGGCGGGAGAAAACAATGAGTTAAAATCCATAACGACAACGTCCAGTGTCCCGTCGGGAATACAAGTCTATTGTTACATGAAAACTGTTTAAAAAATAGCGACGATAAGGATCAAAAGGAGAAGAGTATACACTAGTTAGTTCCGAGCGTCACATGGGGTATCAAATTTCCCAGCAAATCGTTTTAATATTTCTCTTAATATGAAAGGTTTCCGTATTCTCTGAAAGGATTTTTTGAAGTATTAAAAATAACAATATTTTAGAAAGCACCAACTCTCTTCATTGTGATTAGTTTACTGTTTAAATTTAGCTTTTCGTCAGGCTTTCAACATTTGGAGTGTATGTATTATTCGTGGAAAAAATAGCAAAGACCCAAAGATCCACGGAAAGCTAAATGCTGAACATCAGGCTATCAGACAAGACAAGAAATACTTGGATCCGCAACAAAACAAAAGTACCGATGGATCAATGCAGACAGCAAAAACTTAATGGAAGTTCGCTGGACCATTCCATACAGACAGAACCGTCTACAGATGGAATAAGATGATTATACACTTACTTACACTTACTTACTCCGTGCGTTACAACCTATCGTGGGTTTAGCCGACTCGACAACATGCCTCCACTTTTTCTGTCTTGAGCACCACTTTCGCTTCCATACATCACAACGGGTCGTATGATTGTTTTATAGACCTGTATCTTCGTACGTCGTGTTAGTTGTTTTGATTTTATAAGGTTTTGGAGGGCAAAAAT